CCCGGAGGCGGGGGAGGGGGACCGGGAGTGGGGGTGGGGCGCGAGGAGCTTTGCAGAGCGGCCTCGGCTCGCAGGGTTCGTCCGCCCCGCGCCCGAGGGGGCCGAGCGAGTGTTTTACGAGTCTCCCTTCCCGGGGGCGGGGGCGGGCCCACTTCCCTCCCCGGAGCCCCTACGCGATGGACCCAGACTCCCTTCTCCCTTCCCCACGCTGCCTCTCTCCTGCTCCTTCCTCTGTGCTGCCTGCCGCGCCCCTTCCCAACCTCCTCCCTTACTGGGGCCGAGGCCCTTACCCTGAGGCCCGGGTCCGGCTGCAGCTCTGTCCAGGCCAGGCCCCGGGTTCCCGGCCTCCCATTCTCCCGGAGAGATGTGCCTGGATGCCAGTCTGCCTTCCCAAGACGGGAGCCAAGCTTTGCTCAGAGCCTCGGTGTGTCCATCCGGAAAATGGGGGCAGGTGTCCCTCCTTGAGGGGCTGCTGTGGGGTTTTAAGGAGAAGTGTCGGGAGTGGGTTTGCAGTCTTGGCAGCATTGCTGCAGCCGCTCATGCTCATTAACTGCCTCATCCATTCATTACTTCACTAACTCATCCATGACTCCATCCACTCGTTCACTTAATTATTCATATTCATTGATTCACACAACCCCTCCCCAACCCCCAGATAGCCAGGGAAGGCCATCAGGGGCCCGCAGCTCCTGCGAGAAGGACGTCAGGGTTCATCGGGGGCCCACTGGAGCGTGGGTGGGGACAGCCCCAAGGTTCTGAGGAGGAAGTGGGAGCTTCTACTTCGCTGAACCAACCTCAAGCCTCCCTTCGGCAGCCCGGCGGGGTCGCTGCCTGCCACCACTACCTCCATCTGCCCCTGAAATGGGCCAGTACCCCACAGGGCCTTGGGCGGGTGCTGGCTGGTGCAGGCAAACCTCCAACATAGTAGGTGCTCCTGTTGCTGAGCTGAGACTGGACACATTGACTGAGCGTCAAGTGTGTGCTGGGGCCTCTGGGACAGAAACCACCAGCGGGTCCCTATGGTCCCTCCTGAAGTTTTCTTTGGCTTGGTTTGGGGCTTCCCTGCCTTTACTGCTCTCTGGACATTTGGACATTCCTGATCTAGGCCTGGCCCAGAGTGTCCCTGAGCTGGTGGGGAATGCCTGTTTTGTTCTCATTTAATCGTTTTTTGGATTTCCTTCTATTTATGGCAAGGGAAACTGGTTTTCCATTCTTGGTGACACGAAGGTTCCCTTTTGAAATATACTCACGGAAGTAAAAACAGAAAAGGGGATCAAAATAAAGGAAAAATAGCGACAGTGCTTATGTGCTTCTTATGTTGTTTTCTGTCGATAAGAATAACAGCTCAGGTGGTGATGAGGGCGGCCAAAAACCCATGACCAACACCCAGGTGCTCACAGTAGGTGCTCAATGAGGGTGGTGGAATGGATGGATGCTGGGTCTTGAGGTTAGCCCAGAGGAAAACAAAGAAAAACAAGTCAACTTCTGAAGCTGGTCTAATGAAAATGAATTCACCAACTCTCTGATCCCCAAACCCACTGGTTCCCCCAACATCCACCCGTGAAAGGGCCTCATCTGGGCCTGGGAATACAGCAAGAACACATTACATGTACACTGGGTGAGCCTGTCCTGGGGGTGGAAGTGGCTGGTGTGAGATGTTTTCTCTTTGCAGGAGCCCTTGCATAGTGGGTCAGTCAATCAACAAACACTGACTGGACTGGAGGACTCTCCCAGGCCTGCAGGAGGCTGAGGATACACCACAGCCTCGGGGAGCGGTCAGCAGGGCCACCAGTCATACAGCCGGTTCTGCCAGATATCAATCTGGCCCCATCCTTGCGGCCGAGGGTTGACGTGTGAATTGCAAAATGGCCTTGTGAAAGACAGAAAGATAGAGTGCCAGCCCAGAGGGCAGGGCCTGGGTCCTCTCCCTGCGGCCGGAGAAACACCTGCCCTGGACTGGGGAGGTGGCTGCCCATCAGGCTCCAGGCAAGGGCAGGAAGGGAGGGAAGGGCTGCGGTCTTCGCCAGTAACCTGATCCTCAGGAATGCGGCGGGGCCAGACGCACCCCCTACCCGAAGCCGGTGCCTCTCTTCTGGTCGCCCCCGGGGTCCTACCACCCGGGTCTCCGCCATCCCTGCCCTCTCCAACCCGCGGAGCCTAAGGTCCCAGGACTGCCCCTACTAGCCGCACCCAGACCTGCGGGGTGCTGAGCGCCCGGGACCATCCCCGGCTAGCCTCACCCCGGGAACGACCCTCGCCTCACCCCTTTCAGCTTCCTGCTTAACTCCTTTTTTCCCGTTTTATTCAATAGGTTTTAAGTTTCTGGGTCTTCAAGTAAAGACCAAACATTAAAGCGAGTTGCAGGTTGCTTTAAACAAGAAAGCAGATCTCTCTGCGCTGGCCAGAGGCCAGAGCCCGGGCGATGGGGGTGGGTGGGCTCAGATTAAGCCTCTGTAGGGAAGGGTGGGGTGGGAGGACCGGCTGAGTTCTGGTCAGGTTTGGGCAGGTCGTGGACCCCCTCTGGACACTGCTCTAGGAAGTGGGATAATGTCCGCAGACTCTTGAAGCTGCTGGGAGAATAAAGCTGAAAATACAGCCCGGAACAAATATCACCCACCCCAGTTTTGGTGGAGACTCTGCCACCTCACTTTCCTTCTCTCCCTCTGTCTCTCTGGCGCCCCCCAATCCAGCTCCACCTTTCTCTGCTCTCCATCAACGTGGCCAACTGGCTTCTGCCCCAGGGCCTTTGCACTTGCTGTTCCCACTGGGACACTCTGCCCTTGATTATCTCCTGACTTGCTCCTTCATTCGGTACCACCTCCTGTGATTCCTCTCCCAGATTACTCAACTCTAAAAAACATCCTCCTTTACCCTCCATGGACAAGCACCATTTATTGTCCAGGAAGCTGTTTGCCACCTTCTTCCTTCGGATCTTGTGCTGGGCGGGTGGGGTTGTTTGTGTCATTCATGTGTGTCCCATCACTGGGCTCACAATAGGTGCTCAATCAATGTACATGGAATGGATGAATGAAGGAATGATAGTTATACCTAGTTCACTGGAAGGGGCTGGTTGATGGACTTAGGGCCTCCTTGATCTGCCCAAGAAGCCCCCAGTCTCAGGGACAGATCTGGACACAGCCCCTTTTCCCAGCCCTGTGGAGTCAGGGCTGGCCCAAATGGAGGGGCAGGGCTGGGGTGTCCCAGAGAGCTCCCTGGCTGGAAGGAAGGAAATGGTAGGGAAGGGCATTAGGTCAGAAGGAATAGTAAGTGCACTGCAGAGGAGCCTGGGGGGTGGGGGTGGGGGGGTCAGGCCTTAGAAAGTGGGGCTGGCAAAGTCTGCCACTGCACTTAGAAGCCAAGGTCCTCCCCTCCCAGCTTCAAGGACCCTCCCCTCCCCTGTTTGGGGTATACTGAGCCAGACCCAAATGGTGGACAGGGTTCAGACAGATGGAAGGGGTCTAGGGAAGTCCCCAGGGGCATGGCATGGTTAAAGAAGGCTTCTTGGAGGAAGGAATACTGGAAGTGGGTTTTGAAGGATATGTAGGAGTTTGCCTGGAAGCTACGGAAGGGCACTCCAGGCTAAGGAAACTCCAGACCAAAAAACAGCTGTTAAATTTGGCTGCATAATAATAAAGTAAAACAATGATAGAGAACATTTGTTGAGCCTATACCAGCCGTGGGCAAACTACGGCCCACTGGCCGGATCCGGCCCATTTGAAATGAATAAAACTAAAAAAAAAAAAGACCGTACCCTTTTATGTAATGATGTTTACTTTGAATTTATATTAGTTCACACAAACACTCCATCCATGCTTTTGTTCCGGCCCTCCGGTCCAGTTTAAGAACCCATTGTGGCCCTCGAGTCAAAAAGTTTGCCCACCCCTGGCCTATACTGTTTCTGCAAATCCAGTGAAAATCCCAATACACCATGAGATAGGTAGGAGTATTTGCTCCATTTTCATGAAGAGGAAACTGGGACTCAAAGAGGTAACCTGCCTTGGCTTCCATATGCCTCCATTTCTCAAGGTCTGTCTCCTGGTCAGTCTTTCAGCTCAGGCTGCCTCTGCCCACTGATCACCAGACATTCATCTACCTATTAAGGTAAAAAAAGAAAAAGCCCTGGCCGGTTTGGCTCAGTGGATGGAGCGTCGGCCTGCAGACTGGAGGGTCCCAGGTTTGATCCGGTCAAGGGCATGTGCTTGGTTGCGGGCGCGTCCCCGGTGGGGAGTGTGCAGGAGGCAGCTGACCGATGTTTCTAACTCTCTGTCCCTCTCCCTTCCTCTCTGTAAAAAACCAATAAAATATTTAAAAAAAAAAAAAAAAAAAAAGGTCAGGACCCACGGTCGGGGTGGAGCCTCCCTAGGCCACCCAATCACTCTCCTGCCTTGGAGAGAAGCATGGCCCCCTCTCTTCCAATCTTGCTCCAGAGAGGGGTCCCAGGATGGGGCTGGCTACAGGTTTGGCCTCTACTCCCTTCCAACAGGGGTCCCTTCATGCCCAGGCTGGGACCCAAGAGGACAGGTCAAGAGGGCACAGAAACTTACATGCCTGGAAACAGACACGCATGTAAACAAGGTACCCTGCTCCACACCTGAACACACACACAAGCACAGGTAGACAAGTGTGTACACAGACACACACCCACATGCCTGGCCCTCTGCCTGCCAGGCCAGTCCAGGCCTCTTGCTCATAATCACAGTCTCACTCTTAGCCTTTTTGCTCCAAGGCCATTAAGGGCAAGGCCAGATGAGAAAGGGGGTTGGGGGGGGTGCTCCTCCCCACAGGCTAGTCACACAAACCAAGGCCAGAGACTGCCACAGCAAACACAACCAGGCAGTGTTCTCCTTTAACATTCTGCATCCACTGTATGCTAGGTAGGCCCTGTACAGGGAGCTGCGGAACTACCAGGCCCAGGAGAGACTAGGTTCTTCGCTTCTTGAGCCTTATGATCCACTCCATCTGGATAATTCCAAGGTGATGAGAACAAGGTGAGTAGGAAGGGCCTCTCTGAGGACACACTTTTGCACTGGGCCAAGGAATCACCAGAGGGCATAGCAGGTACAAAGGTCCTGGGGTAGTAAAGATCTGGGAAGCCAAGGTTCAGAGAGGGTAAGAGTGAAAGGTCAGAGGAGGAAGAAGGGTGTGGATTCGGAGCCTCCACCACCTGGCTGAGAAGTAGGCTCCATCCTGAGTGGGGTGGGAGCCAAGGAGGGGTTGTATGCAAGAGCTGTCTGTCAGACTCAGATATCCCAAGGATCCCTGGGGAGTGTTGGGGGAGTTGTTCCCTCCCTCCTCCCTGGTATCCCATCCCCAGCCAGCCTTTAGGGCGGCTCATTAAGCCCTAACAGTCATGATAATGGTAATAAGCAGGTAATAATTACCAGCTGGGATAAGAGAGAAACGGGAAGGGGGGAAGGGGGAGGAACTGTAGGGCACCCTAACCGGAGGACCCACAGCAGGCCTTGGCAGACCTAGAGTTAAAATGCATGCGGCTGCCCAGGGGCATGGACGCCAGGGTTCTACGGGCTGGTCACTCGCTGAGCCTGATTCGCATCTGTCAGGAATTTGGACACCGTGCTTTAGGGGGCTCCTAGTGAAAAATATTAAGATCAAAGCGCGTCCAGCAATTTCTGGCAGCCTTCCTTTCCCCTCCTCTGTCTGTTTGAGGCACACACACCACCGGACATTGGAGTGAGGGTGGGTGAAGCCAGACTTGGCTCACATCTCCGGCGAGGCACTGGCCACCGCTCCCCATCCCTTCAGGCTCCAGAGCGCACAAAGACTGGCCGAGATACGTCAGGGGAACCACCGTCTGCGCAGTGGAACGGGAGGCGCCAGGGAGTTATTTATCCATCTGGGACCCCATATCCCCCCCCCCCGTTCCCCGGGACCAGCCCCGCCCCCGCCGAACTGGCCCCACGCGCAGACGCGGGGCGGGGCTTTGGAGCAGGCGGGCGCCTGGTGGCCGAGCCTATCACGCCACCCCGGACGTGCCTTGGCGGGAGGCGGCGCTGGGGGCCTTCGCTGTACACAGCGATCCCGGGGCGGGGTGACCCGGCCCAGACGCGCGGCCCACCCCCATGATGTCAACCCACAAGGCAGCGCGCTGTTGTGCCGTTTACCGCGTGTCACCGGGGCAACGGCAGCCGGGGGAGCGTCGATGGCTTGGCCACGCCCCGCTATGTAAATGAGATACGTCATCCGCGCCCAATGGCGAGCGGGGGCAATGAGCTCATCGCGCTGGGCCGAGG